TGTGTGTGTGTGTGTGTGTGTGTGTGTGTGTGGACCAGCCCCAAGGTTTATGATTTAACTCATTACAGTGTTTCAATCCACCTAATAAACCAGAATTTTAAGGATCCCAAGTTGGACATTTGTATCCAACACCACCACTACCAGGAGCCCCATGACAGCTGTGCCACCACAATAAGGTGCCTCCTGCCTTTCTGGTAGCAGTGGGGGTAGGGGTAGCAGTAGCAGCACGGAGTTGTGCCCCACCACTGCTGCCAGATGGGCAGAAGGCATCTCGCCATGGCAGTGCAGCTGGCATGGGGTTCCTGGTGACAGTGGCAGCACCAAGTCTCCCCACCTGGTTCCACCCTCCTACGCCAGGTCCTGCCTACTGGGTCATGGAGACCCTGGGGGAAGGACAGCAGGGCAGGGTGTCCCAAGCCCCACAGTTGGCAACCTGCATCCTCCCCCACAACATCGGCTCTACTCTGGCTGTGCTCTAGTAGCTGGGGACCCCCTCTGGCAGAGCTGGAGGGGGAGCAAGGGAGTGTGGGTCAAGAGTGAGGGGCACCAGTAGGGATTGGGAGCTGCAGGTGAGGAGTGAGGGGCACTGGAAGGGCTAGGGAGTGAGGGGCACTAGCAGAGCTGGGGGTGGCGTGGCTTGGGAGTAAGGGGTAATGGTAGGGGCAGGGCACCAGAATATCAGGGCTGCTCAGCACCACAAAGCAGTGGGGGTGGCGTGGGGAGGGGGCCAGCCATAGATGGACCCATGTCCTGGTGAGCAGAGAGGGCATAGGGAGCTTTGACTTTTTTCCATGATAAAAAATAAAATGCCATATTATACAGATATTTAAATTTTATTTTATTATAAATGATTGAGGCACTAGTAGGCTTCCAAATTGTCTTAAAACTGTAAATATATTAATAAAGCATTGTGTTCAATATATAGTGGCGTTTCATTTTAATCGCAGAACAGACTCCAATTTGGGTTTTTTTTAAATCAGAGAATTCAAGATTTTGAAACAGAGAAAACCAGAATCTCTTATAATACAGTGATCGAGGGACTGTTTATTCATACAGGAAACTACAGTCTCTTTTGTGAAAACCCCCATAGACTCAGATAATAGGCTATAAAAAGCACAAGAGCTATTTAAAAAAACAACTGGTTTTGTTTTAAATAATAAGAACTACAGATCATGAAATAGTAATATGTTCAGTGCTTCTATGGTTTTTACCAATATCCTGGTCATCTCAGACCCTAAAGGATGCTCAGTTCTCAAGAAACATAACCACTGTATAAAAATACTGTATATAAGGTGGCAGGAATTTGGGCCAAAACTAACAGAAACCATCTGATAGAAATTTTGCCTTGTATTTGGCAACAGTAATGACAGTGTTTATAGTGGATTAGTCCTACACTCCATCATGCCTGAGAGCTGTGGTTTTAGATAGCAGTAATATTGTAAGCACACCAAACCAGAAAATAGAAGTACACATCTTGCATTTACACTAAGTGGGACCAACCATGGATGTCAATGATAACTTTACAATTATAAATGGAGTCAGAAATGGCAAAATGCTAAGAAAAGATTGTAGTGAGAATCTCAGATAGTGTAAGATAACTTTGATGTTTTGATTTAAGCAAATGGAAGAACTAACAAATAGCATTTCTACTCTTTAATTAAGCTCAATCATGTGTTGCTGGACCCTGTGCTGGTTCTGGCTGCTTTGGAAGCTAGTAGCAGGACAACAAAATATTTTATTCTATTGGAGTCTAGAAGCAATATTATCACCATTTCTTTCAGCTTTAGACCTCAGTCTATACTTATTCATATCTTTGTTAGTCCAAGTTTACACTAAAATAACATGGTATACTAAAAGTATTAGAAGACCATTTGAGCTGCAGAAAATACAGAAATATGTTTGTTTAGATATAATATTGTGACAGAATGTTTTAAGCTTGAATATTATAAGGTGCATTATTTCTGGGCTGGACTGGACTTACAAAGTTATGAATGGACTATGGCTTAGTTACTTATTATCAAGGATTTCAGTTTTTTCTGATAAAAAATCCCCAATTTTTGGACTTAAAAAAATAACCCCAAATCCACATTTTTCCATGATGCGTTAGTGGCATTTCATTTTAATCATGGAAAAATGTGGATTTGGGGTTACTTTTTTATCCAAAAATTGCTTTGTTTTTAATCACAGAAAACCAGGACCTCTGATTATTATTCTCAGTAATATTGATCAACTGAACTTCTTAGCATGACTTAATCAGGCAGGGACTGATGGTAGTTTGGTTTCACTAAGTATCTTTCTTAGTGACCTCATGAATTGATAACACTTTAGGTTTACGGGTACATACTCTCCATTAAGAAAACACTAAAATGATTATTTGTCCTGGATTCCCAGAAAGATAGTTGCTTAAAAACAGGAGATGTTCTAACATGAAGGGGTTAATTATTAACCCGATTTAAATGTATGGGAAAAAATGTATGCTGTTGGTTTATTTTCCACACATTCATATAAGGAAATTCTTTACAGTGTTTCTTAGAAATATGGGCTACGTTGCCATCAAAAATCATGGATTCACTAAGGTTTGCAGACAATTTTCTTAATTCCTCTGCAGAACACTTCCATTTAACTGAAAGCTGTGGGTTCTCCCACCACTGTTTGTTATGAATTTTTTTAAAAAATGTGCTCAATAGTATCTGACGGAGACTTGCCTACCTGGAAAAATAGCTCTGACCTGTAATTAATCCCTCCATCACACCTAAGTGGTATCTCATATATCAATGGTGATATTTTAACAGTCTATACTAATATCTCACTAATCATTAGCGCAGAGCTGCCTGACAGGACTATAACCCACATTTGCTACCTGCCAGGAGATAATACTAACTTCCAGGCTGTGAAGCAGAGCTATCCAACTTCTGAGTGCCTGGAGACCACATGCCTCCAGGAACACTTGATGTGGCAAACCACACGGCATTCACCCCAGACCTCCTGTAACATGCGAATACCCTTGGACCCTGCATGTAGTGCTGCACCAGGTAGGCTCCCCCTACTCTTCCATTCAGGTGCCCCCATGCCATGTAGGATCCCTCAGTCCCCACAGGCTTCCCCGGCCCTGTATGTTGCCCTGCACACAGCAGTGGGGGCAGGAGGTAGAATTCATAGGACGGACAGTAAAGCCAGAAATTCCATTGGCAGCAGCAGCTGGAATAGTGCATGGATTGGGAGCCCAGAGGCCACAGGTTAACCCTTCAGGGCTGGATACGGCCTGCAGGCCACCAGCTGGATAGCCCTGCTGCAGAGTATTCAGGAACAGGGGAGTTCTATCAACCACTCCTTTTGAAGCTGTTCTACATTGTATAAAGTGCTTTAGTAGTCATTGGAGGAGTGACTGGAACATAGGATTTCCCTCCAAGTTGAGTACTATAACCGCTGAGCCTCAAAATCATTCTCCATGCTCTTGGGCCAGTAAGTACTTAAGTATTCCACATAAAGCATCAACGGGAGAGATTACCCTACAGGTTGCTCCTGAGGTTATTTTCATATGGAGGTATGGATTTGAATCTCCTCTGGCAGAAGAGAGCTTGGCTCTCCTGAAACTCAGGTAAGTACTCTAGAACAAGCAACTAGATAAAAGAGAAGGCAATACTACCCTCCCTCATTCCTCCAGCTGTTTTTAAAAGACCGATACTGGTTATGTATCTAGCTGCAAGTTGGGAATCCCACATGGCGAGGTAGGTAAATCTTGGTGCCTAACTTGGGGTGGTGACTTTCCCTAGGTCACAAGATACCTTCTCTTGCTACATTTTCTCACCTTTCATTCACTGCTTATAAGCCCTGGGGCACTATTCAGGCAATACCAGTGGACGCTGGCCTGCTTGAAATGGTATGCTATCAAACAGTATGAACAGGTATAGGCATTAAAAATAGATATAAGTAATTGTAAAGCTAGGTCAAATACTCAGCAATTTCAACTGTTGCTTTAAAGTGTGCTGTAAAACAAATACAGACCAGCAGATGCAACAGCAACACAAATCATGTTTCAGGACTAAAGCTTGAACCCTTAGGAATCCAAGATATTTAATAAGGATAAAAGCCCTTCATCTGTGATAGACTGTATGCTGTATGTAGTAGGCAAGGATTGATCATCAACCACTAGATCATGGTACGATATATATATATATGCTGCATGTATATTATATTGTAATTATAATGAGATGTCATTACATGTATCATATGCTATACATATTATTAACCATACTAGTCTTTGTTTCACCAAATTATCTACATCAATATTTAATTGTTCTTAGTTTAAACATGTTCACACATTTCTTTATGACTAATGAGTGTAATTGAATGAAGGAATACATGCTTTTGAGAAGCAGTTGTGATAAGATTCTCTGCCAGTTCAGCCTCCAACATCAGGTGACAGGGAGAAGAGAAAAGAAATTATATGACTATTCCATTTGGCAAAGAGCTAACTGAGCTATTACCGGATATATTGACTTCTGGGAAAAAATGACATGGCGCTTAAACTGTACTCACTTGACAAACCTGAAAAATTTCCTTCCATAAACTCTCTAAGTACCTACAAAGGTAAAAACCACAATATACAAATATATCAAATATATACTTTTTTTACTAACCTGAATTGTTACATCAAACATTTCATTTAAATGGCCATTTCAGATCTCATGGCTTTTTCATACACGTTTCCTTTTCAAGCACGTAATCCATGAATTGCTTTACTTACTAACAGAAGTAGTAGGACAATATCAGGATTATCACAAGCGCAGGCTACATGCATTGATGTCCAAAAATCCTCATCTTGATGATTTACATTTACTCCTCTCTCAATTAGAATTTCAGCAGCAAAGACATTATCATAACGGGCACACTGAAAGAGAGAAGAGAGTAGTGACAGGTTTCAGCTCATGGTACTATTGAATTTATCAATGTATTTTTTTTTTCAGTTTATGGGGGCTTTTTTCCACATAACATCAAATGGGCCAGATAATCTCTTGGATGATAAACGTACAATTCAGCAAGGGGAGATGGTTGATGGATCCATGGAAACGAGCTGTGTAGAATGCAGGAGGCACATTCTACTCGTGCAGGATTCACAAGGCCCACTTAATCCATATAAACCAGAGCTATGTCAAATTGGCTAAGGGAAAGGATCTTGAATAGCTACAGAGAGAGACGAATTTTCTTTTCATTAAATTATATAATTCCAAATATGAATTCTGATATCAAGTTACCAATATTTAACACATGGCCATGCTTTTTTTTTTGGCATGTTTCCAAGCAACAGTGGCATAATACTTTGGGCTCTATTCCTGGTCTCATGTCCAATGTACAAGACAATATCCTTCTGTATATCTTATATAAAAAAAACACACACATGTACCTTTATATACATATATTACATGAAAACATAGGTCACTTTTGATGACAAAGATTTTTTTTGCTAGAGCATAAGAATAGGAGGACAGGAAACCTGGGTTCATTGCCCAACCTTGCCTTAGACTTTTATGTGAACACACAAAATAATTTAATTTCTCTGTATTTTCATTCTCTATTTGTAAAACAGGAATTTAAAAACCTCTCCCATTCCATAAGGATGCTATGAGAATAAATAGATTAAATGTTATGAACTTTCAGATACAATGGTACTACGGTCATGTAAATATCTGAGCTAAACAAATAAACAGGAAGATAAATAACTGGAAATTACCTCTTAGAAGACTAAAAATGTACTTTTATAACATCTTGACATATTGGCCAGAACAGTAATGAAATACTTATCGATAAGTATCAATAAGTACCACTTATCTTTTTCCTCATTTGGAAACTCATAAATAGAAGGTACACATTATTCTTGACACTGTAGTATAAATATAACTTTTTTTTACAAAGTATTTTTAAATATTACTGTAAGTTTGTTAGCTTTTCAAATGTTAATTACTTGAGTTAAATGTATCTTGGAATGTAAATCAACACTTGCTCAATATTTAGTAGCAAGTTCATTTCTAAACTATGGTAAACTGAAGTTTACTTTTCAAATACCTTTTCTAATAGTTTCCATATATAACAAATTGAAAAAGAAACTTCATGGTTCTAGGCAATAAAAATGGGTTATGAAGCCTTTCACTTCTACTTTAACAGTCTGAAAAGCAGCCAAATGAAAACAGAGCCAGCAGGCTCTGCCCATTCCCAAAAATCAGTCAAAATGCCACACCCCATTGTTGTTCACTTATGCGGACAATCGGAGTCCACTTCTCACAACAAAGTCATCAATCTCGTTATTAGTTGCATTGTTAGCAAGAAGGGTTGACTATCTGGTATGCCAAGGCAACAATATTATGAATCCAAAAGACTAAGGAGTCCAATAGAAATTTCAAAGGAAATAAGCATTTCTCTAGTTTAGCTCTCATTAAAGTCAACTGAATTTAGGTTAAACTCGAGTACTTTTAAAAGTTTCAACAGCTATTCAATGATAAAAGAATACTGGAATAGGACTTCTGGAAAAATTGAGTAATAGTGTTTTTTCAACATTCCCACATTTCAACATTTTAAACTATATACAAATTAACTTCAGATTTCTCATCAGCTCATCCCTTCAAAAATTGGCTGCTAGAATCAAAGAATCATAGAAATTAGGGTTGAAAGGTCATCTCAGGTGGTCATCTATGCCAACCCCCTACTCAAAACAGGACCATTCTCAACTATATCATCTCAGCCAAAGCTTTGTTTAGCTGGGTCTTAAAAACCTCCCAGGATGGAGATTCCAGCACTTCCCTAGGTAACTTGTACCAGTGCTTTATCCCCCTCCTAGTGAGGAAGTTTTTCCTAATATATAACTCATATGTTCCTTGCTTCAACTTGAGACTATTGTTCCTTGTTCTAACATCTGCCACCACTGAGAACAGTCTTGCTCCATCCTCTTTGGAACCACCCTTCAGGTAGTTGAAGGCTACTATTAAATCCCACCTCAGTCTTCTCTTCTCTAGACTAAGTAAGTCCAGTTCCCTCAGCCTCTCCTCATAAATCATGTCCTCCAGCCCCCTCACCATTTTGTCACCTCTCTCCAATTTGTCCACATCCTTTTTGTAGTGAGGGCCCAAAACTGGACACAGTACTTCAGATGTGGCCTCATGAATGCCAAATAGAAAGGAATAATCACTTCCCTTTACCTGCTGGCAGTACTCCTACTAATGCAGCCCAGTATGCTGTTATCCTTCTTTGCAACAAAGGCACACTGTTGATTCGTATTCAGCTTCTTGTCCACTGTAACTCCCAGGTCCCTTTCTGCAGAGCTGCTGTTTAACTAGTTGGTCCCCAGCCTTTACTGGTGCATGGGACTGTTATATCCTAAATGCAGGACTCTGCACTTTTCCTTATTGAACCCCATGATATTTCTTTTAGTTCAGTCTTGCAATTTGTCAAGGTTTCTCTCAATCCTAGCCCTACCCTCCTGCACATCTGGACTCTTCACTCTTTTATTCCTTCAGTGAAGCCTCTTCCAAAACCCCTGATCCCACCTGACTGAGTGGGATCAATGAGTGAGCTGTAGGGGTACTAAAGGAAGACAGCAGAAGATGACAGGGAAGGGACAGTGGAGATCATATGCAAGAAAAGAGACTACCGCAAACTGTTCAGGAGTGGTTCCCCAGAGAAGACAATGATGATGAGGAAGATGATGAGGATAGTGACAAAGGGTGTGAGCGACGAAGACAACAGGGAAGAACAAAGTGATAGAGATGATGTGGACTAAGGACTGGGAGGAAAAACAGAGGGGTATTGAGGGGGTAGGAGGTGGGGAGAGGAAGGTAGATGGAAAGGAGATGGTTCTTGTATGATTGTGACAGGTTGGAAGAGATGGTGACGGGCACGTGTGCAGTTATTGTAACAGAAGGATGACAATTTTTAACTGTATATGTATGTTATGGACTTTCAGATGAACCAGATCAGTCATGAGACAGAGCAGAAAGGATATAGGAGGGGGAGTGGGGGGAGGGTGTAGAAATATGTATTTTTGCAAAAAAAAGTTTATACTAGGTATAAGTGGGTGCCAAAAAGCTGCATAAAAGTGTGTTTATGAAACACCTGTGTTAAAACAGTTTAAAAAAAAAAAGGTAGCATGCCTCAATTCTGCATGAACTAAGTCCATGGGTACTATATGAACATTGATACAGACATGTTTAATTTCACTCACTTTCAAATGCTCAGGGAGAGCACAGACAGTAGTAAGGGGAGGAGGAATGGACTGCCAGAGGACAAATTGATATTTTTCTTCCTCTGCCAGAGGAAGCAGAGAACAAAGGGCTACCTGATCCCCCAGACTGATTTTCCCTGCTATAACAGTGGGAGGGGGAACAATGCAAGGAAAACCTCCAATAATCATATTCTATACTTGGAAAAATTGTAACAAATTTGTAAATTTTCCATATACAGAATTTAATTATTGGGGGAGGGTGTCTTATAATCAGGGTTGTCTTCTATTTGATTAAATGTGATATATATTTGCCAGGCCAGAGTGCAGCCTACTGAGCACGCCTATTAGCCGTGTGGAAGATTGCACATCCATACTGCACATGCAGGTGGATCTCAAAATGTGAATAAGTGATAAAAATGGTATTTGTGCAGCTAGATGAGTGCCATTTTGGGCATGTAAAGTGAAATAGGATTCTGTCTACACTGTCCTTATTAAATAAGTCAGTGTCATAATGTTGCTGTATAAAAAAATTGAAAGTATATTTCTCTCTAAACTAAAATGAAATACTGGTAGGCTTTGATCAGATAGATTCTGCCATCTGATAGCATGAGGGTTGCTTATTTCTAAGAAACTTAGATACAGTTATCTAAAAACTAGTGAATTCCAAAAATACCTGCCAGCAATTGTGGCAGACCAACTCACACCCTAAAAATAAATAGAACATGAAACTTAGCAACCTGTAGTAAAATCATTGGCCTCTTAAAGTCATTGCAAGTTTTGCCATTGAATTTTACTTACATTGTACACTGAAACCTGCTCTATTTCCCCTTACAATCACTCGGTTTGAATGGCTATATATCTAAACTATAACTTAAGTGTTGTGTTTCCATTTTAGAAGATCAATATCAAATTGAATGGAAAGGGATACCGTAAGTTAAACAGGAGGTTACATTGCCTTTTTTGTATTACCTTAGAATCTTTGGATCTCCAGTTTTTCCATCTTTGGAAACAGATGTTTTTTAATCTGTTCTTACTTAGTATGCAGATAATTTATAAATAAACCATTTTACTCTATTTTCTTAATAACAATCCTTGTTACATGATGCATCCCCATAAGCCATTAGAATACTACCATTTATTTCACATACACAGCTGGATGCAATCATAATCACTATGAAGCACAGTCTAGATAAAAAAATATTGCTAAGCCTTTCTTGTTGTTAATATGCCCAATCTGCTACTCAGTATCCCACAATATTTATCTACAGTTGCTAACACTAATCTTCAATCACTCTTACCAGATGGAGCAAGGAGCCTCCTGAGGAAATGTGTGTGTGAGGGTCGGCACCATCCTTTAGTAACCATAGCACTGAAATATCAAAAAAAGGGGGTGGGAGAAAGAAGAATTAATGCAACAATAAACCCAATCCTGTGCTGTTAACAGCCTGATTTTTCATGAACTTCATTAACAGATTTAATAATATATGTAAGCCTCTGAGATAACATTTGTAGAACTATGGTGTCAGCATTTTTGCTCTCATCTTTTTTAATGTCTAGATCTGGAAGCACAGGACCTTTGATAATGATATGAACTGTGAGCAATATCAAGGACTTCTCAAGAGAACAGATGTTAATTCTTAGTTCTGAGCATGAGGTGTTATACAGCAAGGTCGAAGTCAGCTGAGTAGGCCATGTTCACCTGAGAATAGAATCACAGTCAACTTGTTTTATTTTATTTTGCAGAGTTCCCATGATAACTATTGGCTTTTTCACTAAAAGATTGAGATTGGTGTTCATTATTTATATTGCTTGAAATTAATCTTTGTGCCAACCACTAAGCAAATTTGCACTCCATTCAACCTTTGCACTACCCTGTCAGATCACTGACACAGTATAATTCTTAAAATGATATTTGGAGCCAAATTTTACTTATAGTTACATGCATCGAACCACTTTGAAATGAACTCAAGCATTTAATTGAGATCAATAAATAACCTTGCATATTAGTGATTATTCATATAAAAATTTTTCTCCCTCATTTCTACTGCTTTTATAACCTTTTTTACTTGGAAATAAAAAATGGCCTACCTGAACAAGACTGCAAAGTGAAAAGGCCAGACATCATCAGCAGAATTCATCCTTTTGCTAAACCATTTTATACTGGCTCAACTAGCATACAGAAGGATAGGCTTATTTAGTTTAGAAAAGAGAAGACTGAGGGGGGATCTAATAGTGTCCTTCAGCTCCCCAAAGCGGGATTCAAAGCAGGACAGAGCTAGACTGGTCTCAGTGGTGGCAGATGACAGAACAAAAACCAACAGTCTCAAGTTGCAGCAAGGGAAGTTTAGGTTAGATACTAGGAAGACCTCTCTCACTAGGAGGGTAGTAAAACACTGGAACAGGTTACTCAGAGAAGCTGTGGAATCTCCATCCTTGGAGGTTTTTAAGACCCAGCTAGACAAAGCCTTGGCTGGGATGAACTAGTTGGGGATGGTCCTGCCTTGAGCAGGGGATTGGACTAGATCAGCTCCTGAAGTCCCTTCCAACCCTATTTTTCTATGATTCCATGACAGAGTCTTTTAAAATGTATCTGCCCAAGAGAATTACTACCAGCAGAAAGGCCATCTGTTGGACCACTCCCTGTCCTCACAAGGAGGCCCTAATACAGAAGATCTCAGTTGTGGGCAGTAGCAGATGCAGGAATAGGGTTAGGAGGGTGTAGCCCCTCAACTATGGCTTTGACACACATGCACAGTGAACTCACTGTCTGATCAGCATGGACTCTTCTGCATTTAGGAGGGTCATAAGTTATCTAGACCTGGGTGGATTTTCATGAGATAAAGTGACTCTTTAAATCTCGGATGTCCCACTCTACAATTTGAAATTCCTTGTACAAACTACAGATGCAACACATCTATCAAAAAACAGTTTTATTTTCAAGTTCCTCCTCTGAATTATAGAAGTGATGTACATTTTTCAAGAAAAAGACTGCCAAAAAATGAATATGGATAAAACAACACTTTTTCCCTAAACTGATTATTGGAAATTGCCAAATCATTTAAACAGGGCCTGGGCATGAGTTTGTGGGGGGAGCGGGCAGGGAGAAATACAGTCTACAACAGATACCTATAATTAAAAATCTATTTAAACTTTAATAATTAAAGTTTGAAAAGATATAAGGAAGTAAAAAAAAGGATTTTATAAAGGAAAATATTAAGCAACTTTTACTAAACACAGCTCTTCCATAACAGGCCCCCACTATATACAGAATGATACCACAAACATATTATCATTTAAACCAGTAGTCTCCGAACTCTTCATAATGAAGATTACTTTTTGGAATTAAAGGGCTACCCAGGATCTACTGCACTCCACACCCCCCGGCTCCACGCTGACCCCTGCCCTGCCCTACTCACCCCACCCCACGTACCCCTGAACCGCGGAGTGTCCCAGACCCAGCCAGGCCGATTCCAATTCTGTGCCGCGGCTGTGCTGAACTGCGCCTGCCTGGCAGCGGGAGTCCCCCCCCCGTGCCCCTGGACGACCAGACGAGGCTGAGCTGGGGCTGCTCCCACACGAGCCCCTGTTGCAGAGCTGAGCCATGGCCACACATGTCCAGCTGCAGTGGGACTCAAGGCGCAGCAGCAGCCACCTCTGCTGCCTTGGCCCCTGCAGAAATCGGGAGGGAGCCCCCACCATGCCCCTGGAGGAGCCCCTCAGGCTCCAATCCTCTGACCACCCAGCCAGGCTGGGGCCCTACTTACCTTCCCCTGCTCCTGGCTGGGTCATACAGTCAGTCGCTTAATGCAGGTGCCCTGGAGGAGCCCCTCAGGCTCCAATCCTCTGACCACCCAGCCAGGCTGGGGCCCTACTTACCTTCCCCTGCTCCTGGCTGGGTCATACAGTCAGTCGCTTAATGCAGGTGCCTCAATCTGGCCCCCGCCCCTTCCCTCCCCCACAGATTGACCTGCTGGGGCTGGGGGCAGTGGGTGTACACATGTGCAGTCCCCCAAGCCCAGGATCGACCCAAAGAGGCTCCAGGATCTACCTGTCAATCAGTATCCCCAGGCTGGTGACCACCGATTTAAACATATATTTAAACTGCCATGCCCATGCCTCACAGATGCTACTCTGTCAACAACTTTTGCTTTCAAGAAGGCCTCAGCCCTGTTGGCTTTAGAGTGCACTGTTGTTCTGGCAGCAGGTCTCTAGTCCTGACCCACTTGTTCTGGCCTAGCTTTCTCAGCCTTATTCCCTTGCCATTGATCACTCTAGGCTAAGGATAGGCAACACCCAGCATCAGTGCCAGAGTGTGGCACACGAAGGCATTTTGCTTGGCATGCATGCCTCTGGAAAGATGGCAGAGAGGCCAGATCTGTACTACCACAACAAGGATCGGACCCCACAGCTCCCATGCCAGCTGCCCCGGCACACCAACTCTGCCCAAAAATGTTGCCTACCCCTGCGCTAGGCTCAAGGTTCTCAGCCCTCTTGGCCTCAGCTTGCCTGTCTCATTCTCAAGGCCCCTGGCCCTGTCTCATGTGTTGTCCCATCCCTCTTTAGACCCTGAACCTGGCAAGGCTGCTCACAGTTGAACCCAGACCTGCCCCCTTCTCACCCCCCAACCCAGAGCAAGGCTGTCAAACCCAGCCCTCCAGTGTTTGGCCTGCCCTCAAGTGTTGAAGCTTAAATTAGTAAGTGATAGCCCCTGCCCTCCCCGCTGCAGCACTTTTAATTCCCTGTAGTTCTCCCTGGTTTCTTGTGGCTCTGCAGCTGGCCCTTGCCCAGCTTCGTACCCAATTACAGCCCTGCAAATACTGTTTTCCTGCTCACTAAGTAGTAGGGGTTAGGGGTCCCTGCTGCAACACTAGATAAAACTATAACATTTTTAAGAAACACTTAAGTTATGTAGGGCTCTCCTGAACAATTCAACATGTCCACTGCCCTCTCTAGGGAGACAATCAATGATACCAATTTCCTCTGACTGCAGTAAAAACTTTTCCATGGTGTCTCAGCATTGAGAATCTCACATTCTCTTCCTAGGTGTCTGACTCAAAGGTCAAGGGGAAGGGTCAGTTGGGTTTTTTCCTATCTTTTGAAGTAACCTGTTGAGAAATGTGTTAAAGTAACCAATAACAAGCTTTACAATAAGCTTTTTCCTTCAAGAAATCATTCATTTTATACATCCAAGCCAATTCTTATACTTGTATACCTCAGGGCTTATTGTCCTTGAACTTTATTGATAATATTACTCTGTGTTTCTTCCCTTAGCTGATGCACTTTACCACTCACTGGAAAATGTAATAGGTTCCCCTTTACTGTCTATAATAATCATAATCCACATGTATTCATTATATGTAAAATTCAGCCCTGTGCACAAGCTCAGCACAAAACCTATGCACTCTTTATACCCTCAGCACAGAGACACAGCCTACTGACTTACTTCAATATTTTATTTTGATTTACTTCAAAAGTCATTTAAAAATACTGTAAAACAGTCTTATTTTCCTGAGTGAGTATACTGACATTTTTGAAAGGCAGATTTTTTGTTAAACATGATTTGTCCTCAAAACCTTCCAAATGTCATCTTCAAGATCAAAAGCAATCTGTTATTTCCTCCTCTAGTGACTTGTTTTCCCACATGTATATGCGTGTTTCCTTGCAATTCCTGTTCCATAATTTAACATTACTTAATACATATGCAACATCATCCAAATTAGCTTTAAGAACACCTGAAACAAAGAGTCACCAGAGACACCATGCTGGAAAAGGGGATGTAACAATGCAAGAATTTTGTGGTCTCATATTTTCTACAAGAAGATACTATTTACTTTTAAAATAGCTGAGAGATATTAAGAATTCTTAATCAATCTTTTATTGGATCGATTTTTATATTTGATCTGATTTGAGCTCTCCGGAGAATGGAAACCATATCCCTTGAAAATTTCACAAATTCAGTTACAGACAAAAATGTCATTTTTTTTCCAGAAATTATAAATTTCAGATGAACTAAAAAAGGAATCTTTCAGCTTGCTGACTGTTTGTCAGGAAATTAGTCTTAATTTGAAAGTAAAACAGACAAGATACTTCCAAGAAATCTAGTGTCCCTGTCTCTCCAAATCCATTTATGATATGCCTCTCCTACCTGTTTCTAACCTTGCTGCCAACAGAAAGCCTGGCCTGCCATCTCTCCTGCAAAATGAGTGGTATGATGCTGGGATCAAGGAGGTAGGGAGGTGGGGAGCCATCATTTTGCTTTTTGTGATGAAAACTAAAATTTTGTGAAAAGACCTATTCTGTTGGAAAATTATTCTGATGTAAAATTTTCATTCAGCTCTACTCCCATCTTCCTTCATTATTTTTATCTGT